AAGCAGCAGCAATGGGTGATGACAATGAGAAGATTCACAGCCCGGGGGAAGTTTTGGCCGGACAAAGTTCAGGCTTAAGAAACAGACTTGCTTCCTTGTGATGCATAGAGGAGCCAAAAAGAAGGGAGTGGCAACCTCCCACCCACTCCAAACACTTCATATACACAAAATCATATACACAGAAGCCTCTGTCAGAGTAGAAGAAACACAAATCAGTTTGCTTATACCAGCCAAGAATTTAAAACAATGAGTAAAGCAGCAACAATGCTGAATTCAAAGGTGTCCAGGATACTGTGGATGAAACCCGTGGTCCATTTGTCGTTCCTTTGGTGCTTCTATGAACTCTGGATTTTACCACCACAAGTATTTTGACATCACCACTGGTATTCCCGAGAGCAGGGAGTTGTCAGGGCTGTTCCCAGCCTTCAAGAAAGGGTTTGCTTGAGTGGGTGGGAATGAACAGGTCACCTTTCATTGGAGTTGTTTCCTTTGTTTTACAAGACTCTGTGGATCCACAGATGTAACCCCTGATGTGAACTCAGAGACAGTTGCAGAGCAGACACTGTACTGGTATCACTACTTTTTTTCAACATAATTTTCCTGCTCTATAAAACTTGCACTGTTTTAGCTGGATCAGGATAGTTTGTCAAGAGTAAGGTCATCTGGATTTTGCTCTTGTCATCTGTAGTGCTTTAAGCCTGGTTCTCCCAAAGGTGTTTCCTGTCAACTGGTTCAGTCTCGTTCAGGAACTGAGTCTTATTATAGACCAGTTTTCTCCCATCTTCAGAATGAAAGTTAATAAATGTCTTACGAATGCAGTTCAGAGTCTTGATCAGCCACTTAAATAGCCTATTTCTCAATTTGAAGCTTAACAGCACTGGAGAATTGGGTAGTGATTAAGGCTATGTAGCCATAGTGCAGCAACTCATTAATACTCAGATGTGCTTAACTCCATAAACAGGTCAGAGGGCTTTTTTTCCAGGCCTCTACTAGCAGCAGGCAACATGGTCCTTTTCCTCTCTCCTACCACAAAATCATTTTGCTTTAGTAAGTATGCCTGATGCACAAGGCAAAGTATTTATAGTGCCACCTAGCTAAATTTGTGGCTGACGCTTCCGTTCATTCCTTCTTAAAATCCTTGGAAATTCTGGAAGTAATGAAGCAACTCCAGTTTGCAGTTGAGCAGTGAATGGGCAGGGCATGCCACCGGCAAGACTGGTACATGCTAAAGAGGCCATTTGGTGTGAAGAACAACATGGAAGAGGCAATGTTTGTGGGCTGCTTTTTTTAAACAGTTTTGGAAGGAGCACACCAAGAGACACAAAGTAAAGCATCTTTCTCTTCAGCTGGACCATCATTTGCACAGAAGTGCTCACAGTGGTGGCATTACAGGTATGGGTAGATGAATGGTAACAATATCCTCCTGTTACATGACACCATTAAAGGCTGTTTCATTCTTCAGTTCAGCAAAGGCAACATTAGCCTTTCAGACTTGTGTTCAGGAGGTCATATCAGAAACAGAAGGGACCTCAGGAGGGTCACCAGTCTGTTCCCCCATCTTAGGGTAGGATCAGCTCTACTTGGCTCTATTCCTGATAGCTGTTACTCTAGTATATTCTCAAAATCCATGCAGGAAGGAAGTCTGTGAAGTATCAAGGAAGCACATTCCAATTCTTTGCTAACTTTGACATTCAAAAGCATTCCCTGATGTCTCCTCTAACTGCCACAACTGAAGCTAGTGTCCCATCCACCAACAGCCAGACAGGCATGTTCGTCTTGGTAGCAGTCTCCACCTGAACACATTTAGAGCTTTCCTTCTGAACTGTGACTAAGCCTTCTCATCTATGCTTGCAAGTCACATTTTCAGGGCCTTTAGTTATTATTTTTTCTTGCCTATGGATTCTTTCCACCTGATCCCCCAGTTTCCTGAAAGCCACTCCCACTGAGACTTCCCCAGTGCGACACCGGACCGAGTGATTGCCGTGCACTGCAATCTCATCATTAAAAGCACGTGACTGGGAGGCAGGAATCGTGGCTGCTGACTGCATCTCAGCCACATGACTGCAACTTTCCACTTCTCTGCTGTACCTCAGTTTCCCCAGCTATGAACCAGAGACACTCATGTCTCACATCTGTCAAGCGCGTTGAGATCTGTGTGTGAGTGTGCAAAAGGTGACGTTTTTGGAAGAGGAAAACGAGTCATATGACTTGTGAGGAATAAATCAAACACATGTTATTTTTAAAATTTTGTTTCATTTATTTGGCAGTAATATCCAAACCCCCCCTGCTTCAAAAAAATTACAAAATCAAGTAAAATAAGTGCACTAAGGAAACCTACAGAATACTGATAAATTTCACACACGTACAGGAGGGAATATAGAGGGAGGAGTGAGACTTTTTTATTTGTTGCTTAAATTTGGCTTTTGGTTAAAAAATGCCTTCCCTGCCCCTTGTAGTTTGTACAGCAATCATCGCAGAGGGCAATGGCTGAACTTCAGCTCTTCCTTCCCAGCAGCCACATCACCCTGCAGGAGTTAGTGACCAGCCAGCCTGCTGCGGGGTACGGTGTGGGCATTGCTCACCTAACAGCTGCCCTTCCCCTAGGTGCAGGGAGGTGAGATGTTTCAGTGCCCTTTGGGAACCACAGTCCTTAGAACAGGCATTGCTTTCCACAGCTGCACATCAATTTGGGGGCACAAGGAGGAAGAGGCTCCACAGGCAGCAGCTCTTTCCATGGAGGCACTATTGCTGCACTCCCACCCTGTGGCCCCAGGCTATCCTAGGGTCTGTTGTATGGCTTCTCAGAGAGCTCAGCTTGCCTTGCCAGAGACTGCAGCCCATCTCTCCACCATCAGTGCAAGTGCAAGCTTTGTAAACTTCAACTGCCAGCCCACACCCCTCCGGCTGTCCCCAGCAGCCACAGCAGCCAGGAAGGGGACTAGAGAATTTATCACATAGTGCAGCCTACAGAAGTCCTTCAGCTGTGGACAAGATGTTATCCCCATCCAGAGAAGGCCTTTAAGGCAAGCTGTTGAGTTTTCTCTAAGGCACTTTAATGATCCAAGATGGAAGGAAGTGAGCTGGGATGCATGAACTACCTTTTAGAGCAGGGTTGGAATAAAGCAAAACATTTATTAACCATGTTCCTGTGACTTCAGATCCAGCACATGAAGCCCTTTCGCTCACACTGTCGGGAAGGAACAAGGCTATGTTTAACGGGTGCTGTTCAGCCTGGAGAAGGAAAGACTGTGTGGAGAACTCATAGCAACTTTTCAATATCTGAAGGGATCTACAAGGGAGCCAGAGAGGGGCTCTTTGTTAGGAACTACAATGACAGGACAAGAGGTAATGGGTTCAAACTGAAGGAGGGGAAGTTTAGGTTAGATATTAGAAAAAGGTTTTTTACTGTAAGGGTGGTGAGACACTGGCACAGGTTGCCCAGGGAAGTGGTGGCTGCCCCAACCCTGGCAGTGTTCAAAGCCAGACTGGATGAGGCCTTGAGCATCCTGGTCTAGTGAGGAGGTATCCCTGCCCATGGCAGGGGGGGGGGACTGGATGATCTGTAAGGGCCATTCCAACCCCTAAAATTCTATGATTCCTATTTCACCAACCACTTCTTCCAGTGCCACCAGAAAATTACTCTCTCCTAGTGTAGCATTGTCCATATTACCCTCAGCTCATATGGACTCATTCCTCTCACCTTCACAGGTGTCAGCTTCTCAAATCCAGGAGAAAAAAAACCCCAGCCTCTTTCTGTATCTCTGATGCCAAAACCTTAGAGCAGGGTGGGGTAGATTATGGTTCTCACTGGAAAAGTGGCACTACGCCAAAGTCAATGGAAGTCCTTTGGGTTCACACCAGGAAAACAGCTCAAAGACCAGACCGCCTTTAACACATCTGGCTCATGGCCAAGAGCACAGGAGGGACCAAGCTTTCTTCTTTTCCTATACTTACAGGTACCAGCTCATTCTTTCTCTCCAAGGAAAGCACTGTGCAAAAAGGGGAAGGTTGGGACAAAAGTCCTGCTGCTTTTCACTCAAGCAGGATATGCTTCTGCAGATGCACATTGGAGTTTCACATGAGTAAGCACTAGAGATTGCAAGACACCCAGCAACAACTGTTGAAGGTGCTCACAAACAGAAGGATGGAAGTCACAAACAGTCATCTCAAGGTGCATGCAACTGCTTGGGAAGCACAGCAGGGACATGAAGGGAACATGGATGTTCAGGTGTGTATGTAGTATGTTTGACAACTGCAGGAGAAAATCAGCTGAGCTTGAGGCTACAGAAGTGAGTGCCAACAAAACAGCATTTCATTTATATCTAGGACGAATGCTCTGATAAACAGGTCAGATGAAACTGATCCATGAAAGGATGCAAGAGTGGCCAAAGATGGTCTGATCAATGACACTGTGAAATGCACCAGTAATGAGGCCTCCAACCCTGACTCCGAATAAAAGAATCAAAGAATAATGCTGCTGCCTCACCCCAAGGAAGATGAAAAGCCTAAGATGATGGCCAACAACAACACGTAAACAGTTTTCTATGTAGTTAAGCCTTTTAAGATACTCTTCTAATGGGATTTCCTGGTCCCTCTGTCTCTAGACTACTTTGCACTTCCCTCTGGGCAAGTTAGAGAAGCATAAACAGAGACTTTAAGCACATGGTCAATGCTAGCTGAGGGAGTGAGAGCTAGAGAGCTGCAGTGTCAATTCATATCTGGTGAAACTAATTACATCCAGCCCTGTCTCTTCTTCCCATGAGGGATATAGCTATCCCCAGTAGGGAAATACCATGTAGTGCAAGGCTCACAAGTTTCTTGTGGTGTTTGTGGCAGCTGAGTGCAGTGCGATACAAACTGTGCATGGGCATTACAGCACTGTCAAAAACAGAAACTCACACACTGGGTTTTCTTGGAAGAGCTAGAGCTACGCAACATACAAAAGCTGAATTACTACCATAGGGAATAAAATAATAAAAAACCCAAAACAAAACAAAAGGGGGAGAGTCAGCATGTGAATGTGATAAGAAAAAAATACAATAGCACCTCTAAGGAGGGGGCAGGGAGAGTAACAGTGAGATGAGGTCAAAAGGAACCATTGTTGTGTTGGAGCCCACAATGTACTGGAGGAGCTGCTGGGGACAGTCTAGTGGAAAGCAAGGAGGAATGTGCTGGACTTGTGCCAGCAGCATGGCACCACAACTCCCAGGTGTCACATCAGGCTGACCAGCTTTGAGGAGCTCAAACCAAAAGGCAAAGTCCGTGGCTAATGATGCCCTGCAGCACACATGCTCATCTACAAAACTGCCAGGCCTGTATTTCTGCAGCTGAGGCCAGTGCTGACAATTGTATCGATTGAAGACCCCCTTTTCTATCCAGCACTGACCTCCGTCCTTTCCCCAGATCCAGGGGAACAAGAAATCCCCCTGAGTTCTTGGAGGGAGCAGCTTTCTGCTCTGGGGAAGGGTCCCAGAGGCTGCTGTAAGTCCCTTCCAGCCATCCAAGGTCCCAGCAATGAAGCTCCCTGAACAGGTGGGCTCTGCTCCCCTTTCCTGGCCCCATTCTCTGTGTATTACAAAACAAATAACCCATCGCTATACATGTAAATATCTGTGACTGGGCAACTGTAGCAGACACTTGTGCATACTGAGATCAGCACTGGAGGACAGGGTGGCAGGTTGGGCCCATCCTCCTGGGCTCCTCCGGTGTGGAGGCCCCTTACATCTCCTTGGTGCTCATTCTCTTGGTCTTCTCAGCCGTCTCCTAGAAAAAGAGAGCACAAAAGCGAAGCCTTGAATTGACACAGGAACTGGTGGTGACTCAAAGCCTTTAGTCCATCCAGAGGCAGTGCCAAGAACACTAGCTTATACCTCAAAGCCCCACACCTGAATTGGTACCCACAGGCAGATCCCCCTTTACTGTGCTCCCCACTCCTGCCAGAAGTCTCCAAGTGACAGAAGCAGAGGGAAACCCTCTAGCAAGAGGAGACTTACAGCAAGCAAACCTTCCCAGTCTCATACTAACCTGATGCTTCTGCAGTTCCTGAATGTATCTAGCCACCTCCTCCTCAGTCAAATCTTGATCAGGTTGGTGTCTCTGAGCAGGCACCTTCTCATTCTTCCCTGCAAACAGAAATGGAGTTTAGTGTTATCACAAATAGGGGAGGCAAATTTCAGAGGCTGAGCCATGTAGAGCAAAAAGAGGCAGGTTGGCCACAGCATACTCCAGCTTAGGAAGGCTTTGCTTGAGCAAGGTATGGGTTGGCTTCTTAGAAAGAGAATAGGCCTTGTGGCTGCCTGGGACTTCAAAACCTGAGTATGTAGTCTCTCCCTGCCTCTTCCTCTCATGTGATTGATAATAAAACCACATGGAAGAGGCTGCATATTATTTAAAAGAAACACCTATAATTAGTTCAAACACCTTGGCCTCTTGTTGGGAAAAAATGGAAGCCCAGTGCTATCCAAGTACAACAGCTAATGCCTAATGAAGAGGTAATTTTGCCCAATGGACATTCAACTTGCTGATGTGTTTGATCTGATTCTTTGGATTCATTATTCCTCTAACAAGCCCTCTGCTGCTCTGACATGGGCAGAAATTCAAGGAATTGTTATCCCATTGCATGCTTCTGCCATGGATGCACAGAATAAAGTAAGCAGCAAGACCAGGTGTTGCATAGCAACTTTGAAGCTTGTTTCTGGGGAGGTAACAAAAAGAATCTCTCATTCTGTTGCTTAACCTCTGAGACCTACCCACAGCTCCTCTGGCAGTTCTATTAATATTACAGTTATCTTTTCTCAGGCGAGTTCCTGCTGCCACAGCCAAGTCTGGGCTGAGGTGATCCCAAAGCCTCTGCTCCAGAAGGACAGATAAACATGAAAAACTCTGTACACACTGCTGCTGGTCCCCTCTCTCCTATTCTGCCCAAGCTACTGACTATAGACCTGAACTCATGTACTCCTGACAGCTCCTGCACAGCCCTGAAACAAAGCTCATGCAAGGGCCTGGTTTCCAGGGAAGGCCAGAAAAATGCAGCACAGTGCTGGGAGGGAGGATGTTGCTCCCTGGGAAGGACACTTGCCTTTCCCAAGGCAAGGGAAAGGTGGCTGTCCACTGGCCCTGGACTACCTGTGAGAAGGTAAAACAGAGAGCTGTTGTTCACAACTGCATCATGACTTCTCACAGTTGTAACGTGACTGTGTGAGCCTAAGAAGGGCCTTCCAAAGGAAGAACAGACAACCCTGCCTTACTATGAACACCACCTCCCTTCATCTCTGTCACCGCTATTCTCTTCTACAGTTTTTATGGCAAGAAGCTTAAGTGCTTCTTGGCATTGGATGAAGTCTCCTATCTCCCCTTGGGTAAGACAAGACCCTAGATCCTGCTTTACAGATACCATAAACAGATACAGTGAGGATACAGACACATTTACAGGAACTTGCTCACACCTACACGTATGGTTGCAGATGGTTACCTATTTGGTCTGTGTGCACCCCAAGCCAGCTATATGCAGAGTAGCACTGTTCTGGAACATCTGGTGCTGAATCCTCAAGAGATCAAATCCAAACTATAAGCCCCAGTAGCATTGCCCCCAACCCTCATACACACTTTCTGACATCTAGTACAGAACCAGCTGGAGTTTGACCAACATGGAGCCTGTGAGGGTTATGCAGAAACCACTCATGGAGAAGCTGAGGAAAAGCCAGAGAGAGAAGAAATCTGGGTAGCTGGTGCCCTCAGAAAGACAGAGAGCAAGAGTTCCTATTGTACAAAACCCAGTAGAGTATTTGTCTGGAGAGCATACAGACCCTCGCATGTCATTGCAGTGCACACCCAGTTCCCACAGGCACAGACGCAGCGGTTGCACTCCACCTGGGTCTCTGCTCCATCCTCATAGGTTTCATCTTCCAGGGCACACTCTAAAGAGGCACAGAACAAGGACAGTGTTTGTGAGATAGTGAGCAGGCTAAAGACAACATATTTTGGAGATGCCTTGAGAGAGAGTAGGTACAAGGTTTTGAAGGAGACCTCCCTTCCCCTAAATGCCGAAAGTTTTATGACTAAATTATTCATGCTGAAATTTGATGTGTGAAATCAGCTAAAAATAATTTGGGAAAGCCAAACAATTTTCCTTCCTCAAAAGGATGTCTTTCAATTTCTCAATTCCAAATGAAATTCCAATATGGGATTTGTTTGAATGTTACACAAAGAAAAGAACCCCTGAAATGAAAGTTGGGTTATTCTGAAACAATTCCTGTTCCAGGTGGGGAGAAACTGGGGAAACGATTTGTGTATTTTCTGTTGCCTTGAGAAAGGAAGGGGAAAAAAAAGATTTCTCATTTCAGCTCACATTTCCTCTTACAGCTCTGTGTAAATATATGTTATATATGTAAGTCGAGGCCCCCGAGCACTCAAGGGCCTGTATGGTGTTAAGTAATAACCAGCTGATGACATTTTCTGGGGGTGCAGCATCCTTAGTTTCTCATTGAAATAGGCAACAGAGGGTTCAACTTAATATTCCCTAGAAAGCATGGCCTCTGTCTGCTCCTCAATGCCACTGCAGTAGGATGTAAATCTGGCACTTTTGGGCCAGCACCCCCTGAAAGAGACCATGAGATGAATGGCTAGGCATGCCTGGTCAGCAGAATGCTAAGCTGCTTTCACATGAGCTGTAGCACTAAGCAGGATTCAGAAGGATAGTGAACTTTAAGATATTCATCATGGAGGATCTCTGTGTGACAGGCAGAGCATAGCAGGACTTTGGTCTGGTCTGACTTTCCTAAGTTATCCAGACATGAACTCCTCATGTGATTCACCTCTGCACTGTAATATATATATACCTTGACCTTGCAAGCATACTGTGCCCATTTGACCTACATCCTGGCTTTTAAAATTCAACCCTTTCTCATCACAGGAGCTGCAAGAGCTCTGGGACAGAAAAATCAGTACTTTGGACAATGCAGGGACAAGGGATGCTGTCAGGTGAGAGGTAGGCATATATCACCATTATCTCTGGGAGTGGAGTTACAGCATCTGTCTGGCCCAAAGCTGTTTTCTTTTCTCTCCTCCCTTCCCAGGACCCCTCTTGTTCCCAAATGTAAGTGAGAAGTTCCTACTTTTCTCCGGTGGGTTGAAGGATGGGCTGAGGCACTTGAGAAATTCATTGAAGCTCAGCTTCCAGTCAGCGTTTTCATCTGACAGCTCGATGAGGGCATCTACGCAGAGTCCTCTGAAAGGAAACACAGAGTCATGCTCTGCACAGGGCTTTACTAGGCTGGTCCCTGCTCTGTGTCATCACAGTCCAGATAAGTAAACCCAGTAACAACTAGGAAGGCTCCGAGATGTCTGGCAGAAGTGGCTTCTGTAAGGGAAGCTTATTAGCTACAGACAGAAGACAAACAGTCACAAAACACTCTCTGTCTGGCAAAGGTCTGG